ATTTTTATATGATTTAGGGATAAAGGATTATTTCATTATTTCTTTTGTTGCAACTCTAACTTACCATTTTTTGCACAACCAATTTATTAGAGATAATGACCTTAATTCAAGGATAAAATTTCTTTCTTTTAAATTAGTCTAAATGGAGTCAGAAAATTTAGTATATGTTAGCATGAAAATGTCAATCTAAACAAAATTATAGCCACATGATGAGTGAAGCCCAATTTACTCCATATGATTATAGGGCTGTAGAATTAATTTCAATCCAAATTGAATTTTCGAATTATGCACAATACATAGAAATTCAATAAAGACCCAAATTTTCCATAGTGAAATTTTTGAACAAATAAACCACCTAGTCTATACTTATAAATCTCAACATTTAGTAAAGAAAAGATAACAATTTTCTTTCAAGAAACCAGGGAAAACTGCATTATAAAAAAAAAAAAAAATGCTGTGCCTTTCATTTGTTTTTACTCTTCTCTTCCTTGTTTTTCCTATTTCTAGTCTAGCATTTGATTGCCAATTAAACAACAACGATCCCACAGCATTTCCTACCATCACTGTAGATCAATACAGCGGGGGAAACTTCAAAACCATTCAAAGCGCAATCGATTTCATTCCCCAAAACAATATGAAGTGGATACGCATCCTCATCTTCCCCGGAAATTTTTTGTAATTTTCATTATTCTTTTTTTTTTTTTTCTACAAACAGTTTACATCATATGCATAAATTTTACATGGTATGTGGTAACATTTTAGCTAGTCGTGTTATTTTTTTGTCTTTTGTTGGTTTGATTTCAGAGGAAAGGTTACGATCCCTTCAAACAAACCATGCATTTATCTTCAGGGAGCTGGGAGAGACAAAACCAGTATTGAATGGAATGATCATAGAAGAACAGATATCAGTGCTACTTTCACTTCATATCCAGATAATATCATTGCAAAAGACATTACATTCATGGTATTTATGCTTAATTTTTGTTCGTTATTTGATAATTACTTTCGTTTTAACATTTTTTCTCTAATTAAAAACTAATCTTTAATTAATTTATTATTAGAACACATATAATATACCACGGAGAAATACAGAGGTAGACCAAGCTGTAGCAGCTAGAATATATGGGGATAAGTCTGCCTTTTATAATTGTGGTTTTATTGGAGTACAAGACACCTTATGGGATGCAACGGGTCGACATTATTACAATGGGTGTTACATTGAAGGTGCAGTGGACTTCATATGGGGCGATGCTCAGTCTATCTATGAGGTGTTTTTTTTCTTTTATTCTTTTTTTTTTTTTATGTGGCAATTATTGCACATTTATATATTTAGAACGTCTCTAATTTACAAAAAGAGATAGGTAACAACATAATTTGTTCTTTTTTTTCTTTTTTCTTTTTTTTTGGTTACAGAGATGTGAAATAAGTCTGAACGTAGGAAAATATGCTCCAGAGCTTCCCTATGGCTGCATAACAGCACAAGGGAGGAATTCATCTGATGATCCCAGTGCCTTTGTATTTAAGCAATGTACATTTGATGGATTCGGTGAAACTCTCCTTGGGAGAGCCTATGGACTGTATTCCAGAGTGATTATATATGACTCCTATCTCTCAAACATTATACAACCTCAAGGATGGGATGCTTGGTATGGCAAGAATCATATGTATGGATCTTATTACTCTCTCTAGATTTATATTGATTTGCATATATATCAAACTAAGCTCGTTTCTCTCTATTAGTAAATAACAGTCGCCTGATATCATGGTTGCAGAGATAATTTGATGTATGTAGAGGCAGAAAATAGAGGACCCGGAGCAAACACTATCAACCGTGTGAGTTGGCTGAAGAAACTTAGTCGTAGCGATCTTAGGCGCTTAATAGATATTTACTACAATAATGAAGAGGAGTGGATTACCAAATTGCCAGATGTCTTGTGAAAATATAGTAGAATTAATCTAGTGAAAATATAGACTAGAATATAGAAGATATTCAAACAAATAAATTCTAACTTATGTTTAT